ACCGATTGTTGTAAGATGATGGAAAGGGACCCATAAAATCAACCCCCCATACATCAAATATTTCCATCTCCAAAATATTGTTAAGTGGCAGTTCGTGATGCATTGATATGTTACATGTTCTCTTACACTTATCACATGCCTGCAGAAACTATAGCAGTTCTTGAACAGTGTAGGCCAAAAGAAATCACATTGAAGCACCTTTGCTGCTGTTTTAGTGAGGTCAAAGTGTCCTCCATAAACCGAAGCATGAACCCATGAAAGGATCGGTTTCATCTCATCCTCTAGCACACATCTCCGAATGATCCAATCTGCCACTCTCCTGTATGAATTTGGATCATCCCAATAATAGAATTTCGCTTCACGAAGCAACTTCTTTTTCTGCTGATAGGTGAAATCAGGATCCATATATCCACTAGCTTAGTAATTAACAATGTCTGCATACCACGCAGCCTTTTCTATCTGTAATAACTGCTTATCTAGGAAAACCTCATTAATATCCATGTTCTCTACACAGAGATTTTGTAATTTTTGAGAAATCTTAAATGAACCTCTGTAAAACCCTGCATGTCCTAAAAAGCTTATGATCCCCTTAACTAAATTAGAAGGCTGCAATTTTTCAATCACTTGTATCTTGGCTTTGTCAACTTCAATGCCCTTTGAAGAAAGCCTGTGGCCCAACATTATCCCATCCTTTACCATAAAGTAACACTTTTCCCACTTGAGCACCAAATTCTTCTCTTCGCATCTTTGCAATACAAGAGACAATCGATCCAAGTAGTCATCAAATGAGTCTCTAAACACATAAAAATCGTCCATGAAAATATCAATGTACTTTTCTACCATGTCAGAAGAGATAGCCATCATGCATCGTTGAAAGGTTGCAGGTGCGTTGCATAGACCAAAATGCATCTTTCTAAACTCAAAAGTTCCATAAGGGCATGTGAATGTTGTTTTCTCTTGGTCTTCTTGAGCAATAACTATCTGATTGTACCCTAAATATTCGTCCAGAAAGAAATAATGAGAATGACTTGCCAACCTCTTTAACATCTGATCAATGAAGGGCAATGAGAAGTGATAATTTCTGGTAGCATTATTCAACCTTCGATAATCTATACATACTCTCCACCCTGTCACTAACCGTGTTGGTATGAGCTCATTGTTCTCGTTATTCTCCACTGTGATTCTACCATTTTTAGGCACAACATGTACTGGACTTACCCATCAACTGTTAGATATGGGATAAATTATTTCTGCATCCAGCAATTTCAGTACTTCTTTTATCACTTCCTTCAAAGTTGGATTTAACCCGCGTTATCCTTCCACTGATGGCTTTAACCCGCCCTCTATTAAAATCTTGTGCATGCAAAGGGTTGGACTGATTCTCCTGATGTCAGCTATTGTCTATCCAATTGTTGTTTTGTGCTACTTGAGTACCTCCAACAATTTATTCTCTTCTTTCCTTGTCATATCATTCGCGATGATTACTGGAAGTGTTGTAGAGTTTCCCAAATATGCATAACGGAGATGTGAAGGCAAGGGCTTTGGTACAAGAGAAGGTGCCTTTTCCACTGAAGGTACCGAGGGTGAAAGGTTGTCGCCAAGAGATTCATACTGCTAATGCCTCCTTCCTATTGGTTGGTCAGCCAAGTTGACAACACCTTCAATTTTTCTGTACTTGTTGCTTCCGATTGTACAATTTCTTCAAAAAAAATTTGTTTGATACTCTGTCTCAAATGTATTTGCCACCAACTCTTCAAGAACATCTACTTGGTAATAGGTGTCTGAAGTCAGTGGATGTTTCATCACCTTGAACATGTTGAATATAACTTACTCATTGTCCACTCGAAGAATCATCTTTCCATCATAAACATCAATTAGTGTTCTTTCGGTAGCCAAGAAGGGTCTTCCCAAGATTAGAAGGACGTTTGAATCCTCCTCCATGTCCAAAATGATGAACTCAGCCGAAAAAATGAATTTATCAACTTTGACTAGCACATCTTCAATAACCCATTTACGTCATTTGATCGATCTGTCGGCTAGTTACAAAGAGATGGTCGTAGATTTTGCTTCTCCTAATCCAAGAGATCTCTAAACAAAGAGAGGCATAAGATTAACATTGGCATCCAAATCATATAAAGCATGATCAAAATAATTAGACCCAATTGTACAAGGTATCGTAAAACTCCCTGGATCTTTTCGTTTAGGAAGTAGCTTTTTCAATAAAATTGTACTGCACTCCTCGTTTAGGCAGATAGTCTTATGTTCTTCTAGCTTCCTTTTGTTAGATAAGATCTCTTTCAAGAATTTTGCATAGCTGGACATTTGGGCTATTGCATCTGCAAACGGAATGTTTCTATGCAGTTTCTTGAAAATCTCCACAAACTTGGCAAATTGATTGTCCAACTTCTTTCTCTGTAGCCTTTGAGAAAAGGGAATTGGTGGCACATAAGCTTTCACGGGGCTTGGTACTCTAACTATGAATATTTCTTTCCTTTCGTCTTCCTCGTTAGTTAGTGGTTTAGACTCTGCTTATTTCCCATCCTCTTCAACCATTACAGCTTTGTCTTTTCTCTCTGGTCTCTTCACATATCTCTAGAAGTCCACTTTTGGTTGCAATAGCTTGTATTTGCTTTTTTGGATTGACCATTGTGTTGCCTAACAATGTCCCTTGTGGACGTTCTGCAAGCTGTTGAGTTATTTGACCAATTTCAGTTTCCAGTTTCTTGATGAATGCTTATTGATTCTGAAAGTTAGTATCAATTTGCTGGAACACAGTGTCTGTCTTCTACATATATTGATTGAACATCTCCCACAAATTTGATTTTTTCTCTGGTTGGATATTGTTTGAACTGCTCCCTTGCTAATTATCCGATCATCTGAAGTTTGGGTATTCCCTTTATCCTACGTTATATGTTTGTTGAAATATGGTCGAAAGAAAAAATCTCTATCTGAGAGGGCTTTTTCCTATACCTACGAATTCCATTGAAAGGAAATCAATTAGTTATTCGTCAAAGTTTCATTTATTCAATGACCAGAATTACACGTTACATCACGATTTTGAATCAGAAGAGAGATTTCAAGAAATGGCAGATGGTATTCGTGAGCCTGTTTCTGGATCTCTACTTTACGGAAACAATATTATCTCAAGTACCTTTAATAATTCATATTCATAAAAAAAATTAAGTAAAAAAAAAACATGTTGATTATATCCAATTTTGGGGCACCCATAATTTTAGTTCACCATGGGTAGGTTAACTAAATGGTATTTCTGTAGAAATTAGGGTTATGGATTTTCAGTTTGCCCGTTCCTGGAGAAGCAAATCAATATATCTGTTATGTAGCTTACCTTTTAGACCTTTTTGAAGAAGGTTTTGTGAAAAGGAATTAAAATTTCGAGAGCCATTTTGAATGAAGTTGACTTGTTCCTCCGGAAAGCCCATAGATGTGCAATTTTCTGTTAGGTGATTTGCCCTGCAATTTTCATAGGATGGGCCAGTTATCACTGCATGTGCTCCCTTTATTTGTGACTTCACCAATAACTCTACATTTTCTGTTAATGATGCTATTTGGGCAATGATAGATGTTGTGCTGTCCAATTCATATATTCTCGCTGCTTTTGGAGGCACCACTCTTTCTGACGAAAACATAGAGTGAGTAGGTAATCAACTCAAACAGATCTATACATTGTTGCACTGATTTCCCTATGATCAATCCGCGTGCAGAGGAATCCACTTGAGATTTAGAAAGTGGTGAAAGTCATGTGTAGAAATACTGTACTTGATTTTCGATAGTAATCTCATGATTTGGACACTTCCTCATCAATTCCTTAAATTTGTTTCGGGCCTAGTGATAGCTTTCCCCATCTTTCTATTGAAAGGTTTGAAATTTCAGTTTGATTTTTGCTACTTTATCTGGTGGAAAGAACTTATTGCAAAATTTCCTGGTCAGTTCCTCTCATGTGGTAATACTTCCATCAGGTTCGGCATCCAGCCCTTCCAATGATGTATCTCTCAGTGTACATGGGAATAATTGCAGCTTGAGGGCGTCCTCATTAACCCCCGGAGCATGACGATTCTGGCAATTCCTGAAAAATCTAGAGATGTGTGTGTTTGGATTCTCATAGGTTACTCATCAAATTAATCCAATCAACCCTTATCTGGAAGTTGTTTACCCTAAAATCTAGATATACTATGCTAGACCACGCAGGTACTGCTATTGGCGTCAAAAACATAGAAACTAGTAAGTCCCCTTCATTT